TTTGTATGTGATTCAATTTCATCACAAGCAAAATGTCTTGGTTTGAAAATACTAACAATTCACGAGCATATTGATACAACAGTGTTTTTTTTTAATGTTACTCTAACAGCTCATTTTCCAAGCTGTTACTTAATCAGATCTCATACTGATTAATTAAATATTTTATAACCATTTACATGACACCTGTGGCCCTCCATATGTCATGCCCTGAGAAAAAATGTGTTAGAATTTCCCCACTTCCAGATCATTTGAATTATGCTGTGGTTTAATGAGTTCATTTTATTCTAACTGTTCCACAGCATAAATCTTTTGCATGAAAACAAACAGCTGAACAACCACAAATACACAAATGATTTAGCAATGGTAATTTATAATGTTGGCCAAATATACAGTTAGTTATTGTTAAATGTATAGTTTGACTTTTTTGGAAATATGCTAATTCACTTTCTTACTAAGAGTTAGACTAGAAGATTGACGGCACTCTTATGAATTACCTATGTAACAAGAGCCAGGATGTGGTTAGCTTAGCTTAGCATAAAGACAGGAAGCTATGAAAAACAGTTCTCAATGGTTCACTGCAATGCTCAAATATACACCTTCCTGCAACTCTAAAGTGTTAGTGGAGTTACGGAAGCTAGATAGTGCAGTAATTATGAGAGGAATGGATATATAAAACTGATAAAGTGTGTAATTTTGCAAAATAAGTGATTAGGATTCCTTTCCACAATTTTTACTCAGTGGCATTTTGAAGGATGCTTGTGTATTAAAAAAAATTCAAATCATTTGCTTTGTTTGGGAAGAAAAAAAAATTGGGGAGAATTTGTGAAAAAAATAGCATCTGGAACACTGGAACAACAGCTGGTTAGTTCTGGGGACATATGATCTATGGTATTTAATAGGAAGTGAACTCACCAGGCACCAAAGACCTGCCGAGAGGAAACAGGGAGAACCTTGTTTGCAGTCAGTATGTGATGTTTCACACATTCGGGTCTGGGATAACGCGGGTTAATTTTGTAAATGTAATTTTATTATTTATAACATGATTACATAGTAGCTCCCCCCAGGACACAAAATGTTGAGCAATAAAATTACAGCCCAATGACGACAGGCATCTTTCGAGACTGTAAAATTGTCAGGTATTACAAATCACTGCTGATGAATAGAAACATAGAGCTAAAAGTGGAAATGGACTGATGATGTTTAACGATACCGATAAAGATTTGTTGCTGCTGAACAATGAGAGAGAAAAGGACATTTCTCAGTGTAAGCTGGGAGAGACACTGTAGAAACAAGCATCAGAACAAGAAGCCAGCCTCTCAGAAACTAGGGGGAGGTGGAAAGTGTGTTACAGTGATCAATTGGAGACTTTACAGGGCCGGCAACATTCCACAGTATTGGAGAAAGCTCATGTTCGTGTCTCGCCCTGCTTTCTTCATCCCTTACGTACCTCTTTTTGGGCTGTCTTCGGGGGCTTTCCTACGGTGCTGGTCATGTGTGCAGCTGGGGATGGAGGCCATGCAACGCTAATCCTCCTCCCCAGCTCAGGAAAGTACCCTGTCTCCCTGTGCAGAACGAAAACAACAAAGAGCTGAGTGTGGCTGCAGCCTCCGGGGTTCAGTGCACCCACCAGAACATGTCCAAGAGACACTGCTTGCTCCCTCCTACCCATCTATCCATGCATGACTCTCCTTCTCTCCCATGCTTTCTCTCTTTGACCCTCTTTTCAACCTATGAAAGACACGTACGATTGCAGACTACAGTGTAATATTCCTGCCTTTCCAGACGAGTGATAGAGGACTTTAGAAGGTCAAAAGGGAGGACACATGGAATGTAACAAAAGAGAAACAGAATGTGGTTTAGTGGGTTTTATAGAGGCAAATTTATTCTTGTTTGTTATATATCATTCCATGTGACAATATAATTACAATGACAGTCTAAAACATATAAAATATATAGAAACAAAAGTGAAACTAATTGAGGTCTCCAGAATCATTCAAAAATAGCAGAGGGAAAGAAAGAAAAGAGACACACATTAACTCTGGACTCAAATGTTAACAAAAGCATGACAGCAAAACCTGGTTTAGGTGTGATGTACCAGCATTGCATTCTGGGTCACTTTGTCCACATGTTTACAGATCAACTTTTTTTTTTTACCTGTTGTGACACAGGGTATGAACTGGTTCTAAAAGAGGCTGTAAAACCCAAAACAGTTTCCTTAAAAAGTCTGACTTTGACACTAACAAGTGCAAGCCATCATGTAACCTGATATGGAAGTCCCATAACTTCACTCTAAATCCAATTTGACAATAATTAAGTACCAGTTAATCATTTCCATGTGATATTAACAGCTTTGCTGGGTGACAACAAGGATTAGTGGCTGCATTTGTTAAACAAACGCAATCATCAAATGAGTCAAATTCTGGGAATCAGCACTTTTGTCAGGATTGATCCAGCATCAACATGAGGATCAACTTTTAAATGCTTCAACGGGAGCAGTGAACAGAATGTAAGAGACCTGGGTAGCATAACATGAACTCAGCCTTATAACACATTAAAATATCACTTGAAGACAGCCTTGCTTGACGAACAAATGTCATGAAAAGTCATGAATCTAGCCATATTTCTCTCCAGCTCATCTAGTTCCTTTATGCAACTCAGTGGCAATCATATGCATGGAGCAGTGTAATGTTTATATGCAGCTAAAGGTAAAGATGTGAAGACTGAGGGTGCATCTAGTTTAACACCAGTGTCAAATCAAGTGTCATAGCACAATATGATTCACAGCTATTATTCACCTTCTAACCATCAATACTCCTCATCCATACACGAGGGAAGAGGATCGTCCAACTTAAACTGAACTCACTGCCAGCAAACATTTTGCTGATAGTTAGTGCAACCTGAACATTTTGTCTGATGTGATGAATAAAAACAAACTGTGAGCAACACAACATTTCCCCCAGAATGTATTTTGCAATGTAAATGGTTGCACACTGTGTGGATGTCATCTCTATATTCCTGTGTGTTGGGGACACGGCGGTGGAACGGTGTTGTTTTTATTCAATTTTTCACTTGGAAGTGTGCTGTTACATCAAGTTCGCACCCTGAATTGTGTCACTTATTTAGAGCTATCTGTTTTGAGATTGAGGAGCTCACAAACAAAGTGTGAAAAAGACAGACAGTGAACGCACAGGAGGTATGGGATGCTTGACGATAGCTTTTTGAAAACGAAGTGGATCTTTTCTGCAACATGTTTGACTTTGCTCGTCTTGTTTGTACTAATATCCTCTGTGATTGTTGCTGTATAATTCCTCATATTCGAAGTAGAAGTACTCCAAAGTACCACACAGCCGTGCTCACTTTACTATCTTAGGAAGATTTCATTTGAATTTTAAATGACAACTGTGTCACCAGGGAGGTACACTCAGTAATGAGACACCCATCATCGTAATAAATGACACTCACTCCTTTATACTGACTGATGGAATGAAAGCTAGACAACATCATTAATTGGTATTGAAAGCAGATGTCATCTGAGCACATTTTCTTATGTTTAAGGACAGAATTGATTGTGTTTACTTGATATTTAATGATGAATTTAATGCATTTGCTCCAAATAAATATAAATCACAATGTATAATAACTTCAAGCAAAATCATTAATATGGATGATGTGTGTTGTACCACATTGTGGGTCTTTAAAGCATCACATAAAATATTACAACCCAGTTTTTCCCAGCTTGAAAAATGTCTTATTGGTGAGATAATCTTCAGAAGTTTCCAGTTCAGTGTCATCTTGGAACAAGTGCAAGAACTTAGAAACAAGTGAACTGGGCTTGTATACCATTCACAGATTTATTTTAAGATATTTTTTATTTTTATTAGCCATTAAACATTTAACTCAATAGTCACTCAATAAAACATAAAAGAACTTGTTTGGGTGAAGATCTTAACTCTTTAGGCGTTTGGGACACAAATTGCGTAATTACGCATTTGGTGTCTTTTTGACTTTAGTATTTACTCAGTAAGTGTCATGTTTATGAGAGCCAGAGCATATTTGTTTGCAGGGAGGTTGTTTGGCAACTGGCGGAGTTAGTAGAACACCCCCTCCTCTCTCTCTCTCTCTCTCTCTCTCTCTTTCCCTTTCTCTCTCTCTCTTCAGCTGCCGCGATATTTTCCAGCTCTGGAGCCTCAACCGCACAGCTCGATCGATTCGCATTGATTGTCCCTGACGAGCTGCTCCACTTTCTAGCCAATGTCAGCCAGTCTGCGATCGGGAAGGAGAGAAATGAAGGAAAATCTCTGCCGCCCTGGCGGTGTCATTTCCACACACTTGGGTTGGCCGCCTGCCAGCAGACAGGGCAGTCGAAAGAGGTGGAGTGGACTCTGGGGCTGAGGGAGAGGAGGAGGAGGAGCAGGGAGGGATGAGGCTGATTTCTGTCAGCCTTGCTTGGTGGATAACCTCTGATCCCTGCATCCCTCTTGACAAAAAAGTCACTCCTTAAAACTAGAAAACACAGTATTTACAATATTGACACTTGAAGAATATTTTCTTTGGGAATATTATATTTTGACCTATAATTATAAAACAAAAAGATCACCGCTCATCCAGGCACTTTTCCATCTTCAAACAATCTGCATGAGAAATAAAAATAAACGTTTAGCTATATTCTGGTCATATTACATTATCACCATTAGAGCTACTGCATTATTAAAGACAGCTCATTTAGGCAGAGTACAGCCAGTCTTCTCTCAGGCCACAGCTTTATTTTGAAACGACCCCCCTCTCTCTCTCCCTCCCTCTCTCTCTCTCTCTCTCTCTCTCTCTCTCTCTCTCTCTCTCTCTCTCCAGCTGTCCTGAAACCACACTCAACCCCGCGGCCCTCTCGCGGTTTATTACGGCCTCAGCTGAAGCGCGCGCGCGCCGCAGAAAAATCCACTTCGGTTTTTCCGCGAAGCTCCAAAAATCTATGAAATGTGTTTGCATGTTCCTCTCTGCAAGCGGGGATGTAGAGGTGGGATTGCAAGGACCGAGAAAGCTGGGGGAACCCACGCGTTCAGCCTCTGAGAAAGTACGCTTTTCCAAAATAACTGACGGTGAATATTTTTTTTCTTTTCACATTTGTCATTAACAGACAGACACTCTGTAGGATTGTGTTCTCGGAGAATAAGCTTTTTTTTCCCTGCCCTTTCTTTTTTTTTGTCACCATTCTGCACGGCAGGCTGAGAGACGGACCGCTCGGACTGTGGAAGCCCTCCCCTCTACTCGGATCTGCTTTGGTAGGTGCGAATAAAATGGGCCCGTGTTTGCAAATATGCAGATACATGGAAGAGGAGGGAGGAGGGGTTGGATGTGGGGCGGGTGGGGGGGGGGGATCATACTTTGTTGAAGTCTGCTGAAAGTTGGCATGTCATCTTCTTATAGGATCAAGTTATAGCAGGGTGAACAGAGGCTCTTCTGTACATCTGCAGACCATAGGCTGTGCTGGTACCGCAGAAAGGCTACCGTGCTCATAGATCACTGAGTCCAGACAAAAGCAGGCTATTTTGATCTACTTGAAATGAAAATAAAAAATAGTGCTTCACCTATAAAGACGGTGATTGGCTGGGAAATGGTGCTTCGGCGCTGTGCTGGGATGAAGGAGATATTTTTACAAGCTGTTCTCAGTTTTTTTTTCAAGAACAATCTTCATTTTTCTCTATTTTATAAGTCGCCGCCAGCGCTGATACTGATCGGCTCAATGCTGAACCAAAAGACCGGTGCTTCATTGTGAATCAGCTGTTAGTAATGCGCACTAAACTTGACGCTGCCGGTTAATGAAAGAAAAGATCAACGCGCATTAGAGTCGGATCATGCTTACATTTGACAACAGACTCTCTCCGGTCGTCACCCAGTAGTCTATAATTGAAACTTTTATTTAATCCGCTGTCGTCCTGAAATCTGGTAAATAGATATCACAGTTTCCCACTCGCCTAAAGAGAGGTGAAGAATTAATTGGCTTTTTAGTATTTTAAAAATTATTCCAAATGTCATATTCGTCTTGTTTTCCTCAACCTCTCTCTCGCTCTCTTATTTGTCTCCGGGCAACATTGAAAGTTTACAGGTAGCTTTTACCGTGCTACCCGGAGATTTACACCCCCCACCCCCCTGCAACCGCCACCAGTATCGCTGCTCCAAGTGCTCCATATGTTTGCGAATAATTTGAAGTCACAGTGGTTGTTTTCCTCCTCTAACTTTTTTTTGTGTATATAGCCTAATTAGGGAGAATAAGACGCAGCAGGTTATGGACAGTGGATGAAGCTTTGAGTCTAATTATTGTCACCACGCTTTTTAACTTCCTCTGCGTTTGTGCGTCTGCGCGTGTGTGCCTGATTGTGTGTGTGTGTGTGTGTGTGTGTGTGTGTGTTTGTGCGCGCGCGCGCGCGCGGTAGTCGACAGGAGGTGGGAGGAATAGAGAATGTGTTGCTCACCGTAGACAAGCACCGAGTCCGCAGACAGCGCGTCTGCAGACTGGAGGACGCTGCATTTACATCGAGCATCGCCCTGAACTAATGCATGAAGTCTTCCCGCCTCTCCAGAGGTGTCGTCAGCTGCTCCAGAGTTGATGGCCGACCGAAATGCCTCATAACCCTGCAGGAAATTAGATGATATTTTTCCCACCTTCTCTAAAGAGATGGCCGTGATTACCTGGCACCTGCGCATGCAGTGACGTCAGTGAAGGAAACTTATTCAAGAGTTTGAGCTCGTGATTCACACATGGACACATGCACCTGACAGTTTAAGCTGTGTGATTTCAATTAGCGCGACAATAATTGGTTTATTCAATTAAAAATGTAAATAATTCAGGATTTGTTTAAATTTTTGTTCTGAAAAACAGAACCCCAGAATCCCAGAACAATGGGACATATAAATACACACTGACCCTAAATGCTTTCCTCTATTCCTCCATCACCTATTGATCAAACTTGTCAACAACTGAACTAGCCAACCATTCATCCATCAGTCAGTGGTAACAGTATTGTAGACTGACATGCATCTGTCTTGTATGAGAGCTGGTATAAAATCGGGCACCTGAGGAGAGAAATCATTTTTAAAAGATGTGTATTCAGGGGAACTGTTAAAGTTTTGAACAGTTAGACACTTAGAGCTGCATTTGAGTATTACATGAGCTGCTCATGCTCATACAAGTATCATAGTACTAACAACATTCACCCAGTAGCACTGTGGCTGTTACGAGGAACTCTTCATTTTTAGGGCTGTGAAACTACAATCTATTAAAGGACTAACTCATTCACCAATGATTTAAGCTTTAAAGTTGTTGTAAACGTTCCACACAATCGAAGACCTCTGCTTCGTTTGCGTAGCCTGCACCAGGTTTTGTCAGTGGTTTATGTACTGAACCTCTGACATATTCATCTGTGGTTTTGAATGGTTTTACAATGTTTTGACACTCTGTGTAGGTGTTATGACCAGCTTTGCTTCAGGTGTACGCAGTACGTACAGCAGTACTGACCATAAAAAGACAATTTGCCATTTCACCAAGGGTTATATACCAGACTATGTCTTGGCCAGGACCAGTAACTTCCTGGAGTCTCTGCCAGTTGCCTGGCAGCTGGTCCTCAAGAAATAGTTTAGCACTTGACCCTTGTTAAATGGTGAATTGTTTTTGGGTTTTTTTGTACATATTAAACAAACAGGATAAAACATGTTAATAAGTGAGCTTCAGAGATGCTGGTCGGTGGATCTTGTTACTTTTGGACAGAGCCAGGCTAGCTGTTTGCTCCTGTTTTTAGCCTTGAGTGGTATCATTATCATCTAACTCTTGGTAAGAAAGCAAATAAACATATTGCTGAACTTTCCCTTTGAGTCTTTGTCTCAGGTCAATCATACTGAGCTGCAAGTTTCATGCAAATTATTCGATTTAATCAATCTACACAAGCCTATTTTCAACTATTTTCAGTCAGCATGGTCAAGTGGCAAAAAGGCAGACAGCAAAAACAGAATTTTTCTTAATGGATCAATACAGTATTCTGCAGAGCAGAAACATCTGTACACCACATTTCATCTGAACGCTGTATTTCACACTCAAATGACAATGTGACACTGCATTTCGTGAGGCTGTTTGCACAAAATTTGGTATATGTGCTCAATGGCACAGCAGCCACAGTATTCATGAACCCAGACTCAGTTGTAAGCTAATAGTTGATTAATCAAAATTAAACCTCACACACAAATTAGTATCTACATATCAGCTTATGCAACATTTTGTCATCCACATTCTTCTAATTGAAACTCTAAAGTTCAGATGAGCTTCTGTTGACAAAGTGTCCACAAAGTCACTGAGCTGACATCAGCTGATTCACCCAAACAGGGTCCAATTCATGTCAAGACTTCCTGTAAGTGTCTTGAACTCAACGAACAGCAACATTTATAATTACATTAAAAGCGTTGTGTTATACCTCGTCAGGCTAGTCGATATTCTGGCAGCTGTGCTGATTGATTTATTGATCATTAAAACTGGAGTGATTCTCCACCATTCAGATTTACTTTCTTTAAAATGTAAAAAAAAAAAAAAAACGAAAACAACAACAACAACAAAACAGATTCAGTTTTGTCAGTAATGATGATCAGCCATTAAAGAAGCAGTTTAAAAAGTCATAACTCATACACAGTCCCGCTGTAGTTTTGGCCACTAATTATTTTGTTCACCTCAGGCCTCTCTGACCACACCTGTGCTCTACAATCTCCAGCTGAGCTCATTGGTTGATCTGAAAAAGGCTAGATGTTGGACCGTATTGATCACTGGGACCCTCTATATCCAGATCTTTGTCTCCGTCTGCTAATCCTGTGCAGCAGGTTTTGTGCTGATTCATTAACAAGAAACAAGAAAGACTGATATTTACACCTATTTATTTTGAGACAGCATGAGGTGCAAGAAATGTCTTACATGTTGTAATATGTAAAAACTAATTACAGGCCAATTCAGAGAAATCTGAGGTTGCAAGGCTTTAATTTGAACCACAGCATTAAAGCTATAATATGTAACTTTTCTCCTTTTATGTATCTTAAAAACGACTAGACCTTTGTTAAGTATTTTTTGAGTTGTGTGCTTACATGTAACATGTAACAGTCTATTTCATTTGGTCGCCACATGTGTCAGCGTTGTGGTTGCGTGCAGTGTTGTGCATGAACGCGTTCAATGAACGAATCAGTTTACGAATGATGATTGCGAACGTGAGCGGCGTTCACTCCAGCTCACGTTTTACGACAGTTTTTTAGCTCACGTTTTTTTTCGACAGTTTTACGGCATGACGTCTCCATAGACATGGCAAAGCTTGGCTGGTGCTAGCGGTACAGACGGTACAGAAGCAGCTACAACTGTTGAAGCCAGTTAGTTTGATTAACAAACAAGTGAAGACTCAGACGGATTATATTTGTATACGGATTTTAAATGCAAGTCATGTCATTTCTGTGATTCTTCAGTGGTGTACAATAATTCATTTAGTTTGGAAGTGGCAATGATTTGGGGCTGGTGATGGATGGGTAGAAGGAGGTTGAAAAAGAATATTGGCCTATTTATTTAAAAAAAAAAACTGAACAAATGAACGTGAACTAGTTCATTTTCATCTGTATGAACTGAACTTTGAACTAGTTCTTTTTAAGTGTGAACTGGCACAACACTGGTTGCCTGTCAGAAGCGGTGAAAACTGACTTTGGTAGACCTTGGTTGTTTTCAACTATGTAATTTAACTGGACGAAGGATTTTAGTCATTGGACGTCTGGATCTTAAGTTATCAGTGAAACAAGCCAAACAAATGTTACGCATCTCAGCTGCCAGCTTCTCCAGGATGTCCTGTGTCCCCCAAACAGCATCAGTGTTCAGTGACTTTAAACAGGAAACTTTTCAGTGTTTCTACTGGTTTTAAACTCCTGGCCCGTTGCTTATGGAGAGGAGGACACCTCTGCTGATAATTTGACTGTTGGTAAAAAACCTCCTGAATGTCTGGATCGTAAGTTTTCAGAGAAACAATCAAAACAAAGAGAAGCTACATACTGTGCGTTTAAGCTTTGAGTAAACATGCTTAAAGGACAAAACAGCTCCAATTATCTGGTTTCAGCTGTATGGCACAGTTGTAGTTTAGTAGACAGTTCACATAAGGACATATACCTCTTCTGTAAATGATGTGGCGAAGGATGCTGGAGGGAGGTGATTAGCCAGAGACTATATGCCATGCTCAGGGCTGAGGGAAAGAGTGTGACTGATAGGTCAGTGGGATGGACAGCATATGCTGAGGAAGGTGAGTATGGAACCAGTAGACCAAAGCAGCAAAGCAACAATGGTGTGGTGCACCAGTTTTGGCTTCAGTCTGAGCACAACCTGTAAACATGTAAAACACGAATATGGATACAGAACAAAACTGGTTTCCATAACAGTCTCTTCTTTTTGAAGTGTCTGTCAGGAAACAAAATGTTGAAGATACATAAACAATTCAAATCATTCAATTCAGTTCTGTATTGCAGCTGTTGGCCTTTATAATACCTATTGTTTATCTGTTTATTTTTCCATAATAGTATAGATTTACATCACTGTAGTCTACAGTGTGTTGAAAAGTCCCTTAATCACTGAAGCATTATAGCTCAAAGTCGTGCTTGTCACACTGATGTGTTCACTAACAATACAAACACAACTTGCAGTTACCTAAAAATCCCAGTCATTTGTCAAATGATTTATTTTTTTTATTGCTGAAACAAAGAGAGAGAGAGAGAGAGAGAGAGAGGGAGGGAGTGTTTGTGTCACTGCATTATCGTCATACAGTAGGTGTTGCTGGGATTGACGCAAAGCAAGTCAGAAGTACCCATGAAAAGCATCGTGTCACATCCACACTGTCGGGATTGAAAGCACAGCAGCTGATATACATGTCATTTTCATTTGAAAGACTTGCCTTTTTTCTTCTTTTTTTTTTTAAAACCCAGAGGTTTCAGCAGCAGGTCAGCTGCTGGCTGATGGGACAACAGTGTCCTGGCTGAATTATTATGTTACAGCTGATCAGTGATATTTTTGAAAGCGTCCACGAGCCGTGATTGCCAACTTTGTCGCTTTGTGGCCGACTTGAGAACTCATTTATTCTAGCTATTGATAATGTGCCAGTTCATTAATTATGTGGAATACTCAAGTCTTTTAGCACATTTACTGTATTTAGATCATTGATGAAGCAGTTGGATCAGAGCTGGATATTCTCCCAGGCCACGATTAATCAGGAAATAGTGCTGTTGTACAAGTAGCTACCCAGATTTACTTTTGTTAATGCACAGCTGCCATAGAGTTCAATTTAGAGCTCACTGAAAAAGCACCTTAACAACATTAAAGTATTCATAACTGACCACTAAATACATCATTTTCAGCTGTAATATTACATAAAAGCACACAAATCCCCTTGTATCCCTCAGATGATTTGCGGTGCTGTTTTGCATTCAGCCACAACTGAGCAGAGATGCAGTTAGAGTTGAGATGCTTTTGGGAAACTGGACCCTGGTCAGTGCTGTAGTGGGAGAAACTGAAACTATGGGGCTGAGGGGCTGCGGAGCTGGCTCTGGTTCACTGGCGCCACATCCCCCTGAGCTGGTGAGAATGTGGGGGCTGTGCTCTTGCCTTTGAAGCTTTACCTCCCACTAATTCTGGCCTTCCAATTTCCACACACTGCACAGACACCCCCCCCCCCCCCCCCCCCCCCTCTCCATCCTCTTCCCCTCCCTTTCCCTTTGTTTCCCTTATAAGGACTGGCCCGGCCATTTCCTCAGCTTTTCTGTGGGAGGTGGTATGCTTGTTTGTGAACATGGACAGGTCAGGAGAATAGCAGCATAGTTTTTTTTTTTTCATAGATGAGCAGTCACAGGAATCTTACGCTAAAAGCCTGTGGATGCATGCATCTCTGTCCAGTGGGGAGTCTCCCACTACTAGCCTAGTGAACCCTCTTCATGAGTCTCACCACTCCATTTAATCTACCATTTCACCAAAATATATTGTGCTAGACGTTTGGTGTTCAAAACTAATTGTGTGGAAAATAATTGATTGACACAGTCAAATAACAGCAAGCAAAAGAAATCAAAAGTTAATCAAAGAAAATGAACTTCCGTGGTTCTGTTTCTGGGCTTTTGGGAGGATGTTGAGCAGCTTCCCTGGTTGTTGGGTGAGATAGTCAAATAAGGGACAGATGTTTGTTTTCTCACATTTTGTATCACAAGGTTAGACACTCAGATCAATGACCAAATGACCATGTAAGTGGTAGTAATGCAACATAGTGACTAAACTGCAGTACACTGTATAAATACAGTTTATTTAGACAGTAAAGCATTCATATCAGTCTCAAAAACGAGCTCTACAGGTTATGTAAAGGGACATTATTACAGATATATGATACTGATACAACAGATCAATCGGTCATTGATCATTTCAGTGCATGTAGTAACGATCATACGTGCACAGCGTTGTTGAATGTCACAGCACAGATTCAGTGACTTTCCTGTTTGATTATGAAATGCTGCACATAGAGACACTTGTTTGTATGTAGGAGTTTTTGAGCTTAAAGTGCAAAATATGCATATACCTGTAGCTCGAGAAAAGTCCTAACAGAGTCTTTTAGGTAAGAATATAAAATTAATTTCAAATGCTACAGTGCTCTTTAGTTACAATGCCTTATAGTTTGTAATTTATTTAGTTTACCAAAGCAATTTCTGTCCCCAATACAACTTAATTAATTAGATTTTTTTTTTTTTTTTATGCTGATAATTTCTTTTCTTTGCTAACCAATCAGAGAAACACCAGGGGAGCAGGTGTTGATTTACCGGTCAGGAGTCTGTGAAGTTTGATTTCTAGATTGATGTGTTAAAAGATGAAGTAGAGAGGCAATTAAAGGTTTTGATTTTCTGAGGTTGAATTTTAATTTGTTATCAGCATATCTTGATCAGTGGTTTTTTTGGGCTATAAATGAAAACACTGGGTGACCCCAGTCAAAGAATTAATTTTGAAAAACTCATTTCATTAGGCTATGGGCGTCACTAACTGAAACTTACTGAAAAATAATTTTCATCTCAGTGTTTAATTCAACTGTTTGCGTTGTGAACATGACTAAACATCATTTGACGGACAACGTGAGACGTGTCACTCCTGGTAATGAATCTATATAGAGCAAACCTGTAGCTTCCCCTCAGCTTTATAGTGAGTTGCAGCTCATCGTTTGCGGTCTTTTGACGTGCAACCAACCGCCCCCCTGTGTTGCTTTACTCACCATTCTCATAGCGCTGTTGTCAGCCGCAAAAGGCAGCTGTTTTCAAAAACAAGCTCTAAAAACCCACTGTACGCTACCTGCTCAGCACCAAACAGCCCGACAGTAATAGTTAGCAACTAGCTAGTGAACATAGTGGAGCATCTAAGAGCTGAGGAGCTCAAAACTGGACTTACATTCATCAGGTGGACTGAAACGTGTGTAAATGTGAAGATGTGTGAATAGTTCAACATGTCAATCTTGTGCTCACATCTTGTTTCTGCTGTTCAAAGAAAATCAGATGTGATACTATGATTTAGTTCTTCTTGTATTTACCTAAGTTGACCCACAAACCCGACAGAAAAATGGCAAACGTTTCTCTTGAGTGTTTCAGTGTTTTGGTGAAGTGATCACTAATGAGTAATTTACACACGTCTCTTCTCTCTCTTGTGTAACGTTTCCAGACGGCCCATGGAAGAACGTGGATGAGGGCTGAGCTGTAGTGCGGGCAGAAGGCTCCGGGGCCTGTCTGTTGTCGGCTGGTTGATTGGTCCATTGAGGTGAGGCACCACTCTCACCGGGGCACAGAACGGGCCGAGAAAAGGTCTTTGCTCCCCCTCCTCGCTCACCCCTGCCCCCTTTCCACCCTCACCCCCAACCCAGGCACGTACGCTCTGGACCATGTCTACCGGGCTGTCGGAGGGGGGCCGGACAGAGGACCTGGAGCGGAGCAGCTGCAAACAGGACTCTCCTGTTACAGAGCGCAGGAACCGCAGTGGCATCATCAGTGAGCCCCTCAGTAAGAGCCTTAAGAACTCCCGTACCCTCTCCCAGTATACAGCAGTCTCCTCTGCCACCACCAATGGACACACGGACAATAGTGAGAGTAAGAGCCACTCGGCCAAGCCTCAGCCACCCCCGCAGCCCCAGCCCACTGTCTCCGCACTGACAGCAGCCAAGTTGGACCGAACCCTAGAACAGGTTCTGGAGGGACAGAATGGCCTGCTGCACTTTGCCCAGGCAGCAGCACTGTTAAAGCGGGCCGGTATGGAGCACATGCTCCTGCCTGGGGGCATGGGAGTGGGAGTTGGCGGTGGAGATGGAAGCTCGGGGGCTAGCGACTTGGAGGGTACGTCTGTCACGGACGCCGTAGGTGGTCCTGTTGACTTCCCATATGGAGTAGGGGGTGGCTTCCCCTTCAACCCGGGGCTTTTCATCATGACGCCGGCTGGAGTGTTTCTGGCAGACAGTGCACTACACATGGCCAGCCTGGCCGAGTACCCGGCGCAGAGTGAGCTGGCCTCTGCCATCAACTCCGGTAAAAAGAAGCGAAAACGTTGCGGCATGTGCCCACCTTGCCGACGGCGGATTAACTGCGAGCAATGCAGCAGCTGCCGGAATCGCAAAACAGGCCACCAGATCTGCAAGTTTCGCAAATGTGAGGAACTGAAGAAGAAGCCCTCTGCTGCTCTGGAGGTAAGAGGGTGGTGGTTATGATGTGCCTTTGCTTTGTGGGCCATTCTTCAGGGTTCTCCAATAATAAGTTTAAAGGGTTTTGAGCCAAAGGGTCACTACAAAGCTTCAACGTATTTACAAAAACCAACAACATTTGGGTGCGTTCGCCATTACACCTAGTGAAAAAAAAAAACAGACAAATAAGCCACAAGTTTGTCACCATGGGATCTAAAATCTGGAGGAACTGGAGAATTGTTTTAAAATAACTGCAGAGATCTGCAAACCTCACAAACCAATTTCAGCTTCACATCTGAAAGCACAAAGGTCTTTTGTTTCATACCTAAATGTCATTCTCCTTTAAGGGAAGTAGTACAAGGGGGGCTTTTCGGTGGGCTGAGGGCTCCACAAGCAGGGAAATGACAGGTGGTGAGGAGTGCGGTGGATATGTGCAGGGTAAGCATGCACCATGGGGTCTCTTTAATCTGTCCACCATAGCCACGCCATCACCCTGCCCACATCTTTCAATCTGAAGAGTAATTCTCTGGCCAAAACACAAGATTGTTTGTGTTTTTCAAATTCCCTTCAGTGGAGCATTTGCACATCCTCCTTCTGTTGACTTGTGCATATGCTGATTGTACAGAAATGTAAAAAAAAAAAAAAAAAAAAAAATGTGTATGTGGATACAGGGTGGCAGTAATTGAGAATATGTGTACAGTATGTTTGTGCGTAAGTATACATGCGTGGGTATGTTTGTGTATGTTTGTGCATGTAACAAGGCCCATCTGGCCACAGAGCTGTCATCTGGAGCACCAGGTGTCAGTGCGGCACATGCACCCGCCCCCCCCTTTCGCTGCCTTTTGCTGTCCTTCTCTCCAGTGACACTCCTGCTCATCTAAATGGCCCTCCAAACTTCCTGTCTGTTACCTCCGTCACACTCAGTGGCCTAACTAACCCCGACTGTGGTGACAGAACGACCAATCATGAAATCAATTTCAGCAGATGTTCCATCTCAAAGGAAATAAACTTTTGTGATCAATGGATAATAGTGTCACTTTGGCATTACATAATAAATTGATAGATATGTAACACAGTGTGAACATGAACCAGTGGAGAGGTCTCTGGTCTAATTGACACAAACTGGATCTGTGCTTCAAACTGCTAATGGCTTTACTTCTTTCTCTTTCTGATGGTGATTGAGGGTGACAGCTTGGACTCTTGTTTGTAGGCTGAAAGGTTGGTTGTTCAATCTCCATGTGCTGACGGTGGCCATCCACACTGAACTACTCCTTAAAGGGACAGTTTTGTTATTGGACAAACAAAGTGATGAAAGCCTCTCTCAACTTCAACTCGTGGAGATTTATAGCGTGGCTTGGGTTAGATAATCCAGCAAAATGAAGCTCATATCCGGTTTTTATTGAGTAGCAATGCAGGCGCAGGCTGATGTGAAATGTCTGTGTACCGCACAACAGTAATTGAATATACAGGACTTGAAGGTTGCTCTTGGCAGCAGTTATTATCGTAGAGCAGAAACAATTACCCCAGTAATTGATTAGCTGATTGACAGAAAAATAATTGGCCAATGTTTTGATAATTGATTAATTGTCTCAGTAATTTTTCAAGCAGGAATTGTGAATAAATGGCAAATATTCTCTGATTCCAGAATCTCAAACAAGAGGATTTCTTGCTTGTCTTCGTCATATTTGTGAAGTTGTGAAGAACATTTTTTGACATTTTTTTAATGCTTCATGAAATAAACAATACATTTTAAAAGAATAATGGATAGATTGATCAATAATGAAAGTAATTGTTAGTTTCAGTCCAGACGAATGGAAATCAGTGACTGGCTCAAACATAGAGAAGTACAGATCTATAACACTTTAAAATCATGTGCTAACATTTGGAAAAATTGTGGGCAACAATCAAAAGTGTACGAGGTGTAGAGCAGTAAATGAGCCACAACGTTTAAAAAGTGTTTGACAGTGTGACTGAACAAACCCGACTTTCTGGTTGTGTGTTGAGGATCAGACCGATGTGTCTGGATATCGGCGTGCTGTTTTCCAGTGTTGTTGTGTTCAGCTGCAAATTGATGAGAGGCTTCATTTGTCGCTGTTGATGATTCACCAAAATGGTGAGATGTGTCAGCTTGCGATGTAGGTGGTACGCCTCGACGTCTGTAACAAAAAGGAATTTAATTTTAATTTATGATTTGCAACTGATGTTGGCATAGCCAGTTAGCCTAATACCAGACGTTCACACCATTGATGCCAAACCCAAGGGGGCTTGAATATTCATGAATGTTGATATAGGTCATCATGTTGCTTGTAACGTCACAGTCTGCTGATGAAAGAAACTCCAGGGTACCATAAACCTGCCAAGCCTCCAAGTACCAAGTATAATAGCAGTCTGATTATTGACTTTAGTAATTGTATGGGCTGTAATTACCTTGCACACAGTTTTTACTCCTGACATTTGAGAAGCTCTACTACTCACTAATTTATTTAATGTGTCTGTCAAGCAATTTCCTCTTTTTCAGAGCAGAAATGAGAAGGCAAATCTCTGCTTACAGCTAATTTTCACATTTACAGTTTAGTATAACAATATTAGGGTAATGAGTATTTTTAAAGGATCATATCAGTGTTTTGAAAAAAGGCTGCAGCTGTAGTATGGGCTACGCTTCTCTACTACATCGTTCCTGACGGTGTCTACACAACATCAGTGTAGCTGTCAAAAGCAAACAGTGTGGAAAACCCGCTTTTAGACTGAAACATTGCCTGAACTGCTTCATCAGACATCAGCATAAACATGAATTTTATTATTTTCCACTGGGTAGAAAGGTGGATTGTTACAGTGAAGCTGGCCCATGCAATAAATAGAAATTGGGTGTGAATACATTTGTGGTTAGGCTCTCATCAATTGCCAAAGCAGCAGGTGTATTGTAGGCATTAAATAGATGAAATACCAACAGTGATGCGGTGCCTTTCTCAGATGTCTGAAAGTTTCTGTCAGTGCCACAGATGTACTGAAGGTCACGAGATAGCGATGGGAAAGGCAAGAAACATTCATGTCAAAGCGTGCAACTTCGCACACATGATGAACCAAACCTCAACCTCAGTCACCTGACGACCTACTGCAAGAAATAAAATCTTTGTGACAAAATGATCCTTTATAATATTCCTCTGATGTCGCCTTGTAAACCGAATGGTCTTACTCATGTTCCTCACGGTATATTTTGGATATCTTTGATAGAGTTGATTTTGAAACTGTAAAGTTTGTACATCAAGCAGCTAATCGTGAATACATTGCAACACAACTGACAAATGCACCTGAAGAGTGAGTGGGCTTTAACTCAAAATGAGACCAGTATTCTCATTCAATCAAGAATCCATCGAAAACGTCTGCAACCTGTTACTTCTTTGCTCCAAATTGATTTGCTACAGTAGCACAGTATCAGCCTTTTCCCCCCTGTACAGAGCTCTGACGGTAGTACAGCATTTTCAATTTTGCCTGTTTTTTCTTTTATATTTTGATATTTGTCCTCATGCACTCATACATTTCCTATTAGCAGTCTAGTAGTTGTCTCAAATGGCTTTGTTATTAAGTCAACAGCTCTTGTTCAGGTGCAGGTGGCAGGTGATTAGATCAGAGAATACAGCCTGGGCTGCGCCGTCGTCGAGCGCGATGTCATCACTACAAGCTTAAATGTCAGAGGATGAGATTCATGGAGGATGTGCTGTGTCAGGAGGGAAAGTGGGGAGCGGAGAGTCAGCAGTAAATCCCAAATGTCAATATTGAGTAGATGATGTAAGATTGTCAATTACAGTGTATAGTTTTACTGCCTTTAAACTAGGGCTCTGTAAGAGAAATTCCTGCTCCCCATCAACGACTTTAATGCATATTCAGGGTGACTTGGGCAGCACCTGTGCCAGAAGAGAAGATCCTCCTGGCTTTCTGAGTCCACAGTGAACTGCAGAGAGCCTCAGCTGTAGCTCAAACAGCCCCTGAGTGTCACATTCCCCTTCAATCAAAGGCAGGGCGGCACATCCCCGTCTGCTGTGGCTGTTGCACTCAGTGTGCAGTCTCTAAAGGGGCATGACGTCTTATTTAACATGTGTCTTGCGGTCAGTTCGTCAGATGGTTGTGACTGCTTTCTGGCACGTCTACGTGTGCGCGCACATGTGAGTAAAGAGACTGGAAGAAATATCTTAGCTTTGCTTTTTCTTTTTTTTTTCTTTCTTTTTTTTTTTTTTTACTGCGTTTGCATCGCAGGGTTACGCTTGTGTGTTTGTAGAAGCCTGTGAGCGTATACGGGTTGGTACACAAGTGCAGTCCAGCAGCAGTGTGCTTATTTTAAGGGTGTTGACGGTTTCCATTGAAAGCTCATGGCAGCTCAAAGAGGAGCGTAAAATTGGCAAGTGAGGGGGAGTTAGCATGCTGAGGCCTTTGCCACCTCATAGCTCACTGGCTGAAGATGTCTGGATTTATTCTGGGAATGCTACATTTGAGAGAAATAAGTGGGAAGGCAGTTCCTTTCTGCTCTGTGTCTGAATACCCTCCAGTGGTGTCAGTCTCAGCAATGCTGTTCAACACAGAGCGACAGAAGGAGAGTCAGGATTAGGAAGTTGTAGTGTACCTTGTTTTTACTTGTATGTCACTGTATTACATTCAGGGTGTACTGTATATGTGGGTGGGCGATATCTGAAAATATTATAAGACAGGAGCGGAGTTTTCTTTTTTTTTTTTTTTTTTTATCTTTGTCTTCTTATAGAATATTATATTTTGCAATGAAATTCCCTGGTTGTGTCAAAGACTGTGCGTCTTTGTCATCAGACAGGGCTAACACCTGAACATACTTGGGGGCCACTTTGCCAGTATCATACATTGATATGGGAGCTGCGTATTCCCTCATGGTCTTTCCTGCCTCCCAGACACCGTACACCAGACAGTCAGGACAGAGGAGACTCATGCAAACTGACAGGCATGCAGACTGACACTGAGACACATGGATGTGCGGGCAAGTTGCTGGGCAGACAGAGGGACAAGTTGGAGTGGACAGAGGAGGCTAAGGAAGACAGAAGGGAAAAGGAAAGCAGTAGGGCAGCCAAGGTGTCATATTGTGGATATCTGGATGAAGCAAACAGCCCTTTCCTCAAAGAAAGACAGTGGTATTATTTGCAAAACAAGATCAGGTTGTAGTCATCAGAGTGTGCACAGATTTTGTCATTTGCACGTCAAAAGAACAGTTTTTCAGTGAATGCATTTCAACATGTAAATGCAGTCATTTAAATGCCAAAAATCATTATACAAAAGCTTGACATTTTTTTTTTGCCTAATTAGCCCAACTTGATGAGTGTTAAGTGTTAGCTTGAAAGATTTGGAGAAATAGCTTTAGGATTTATCACCGCTCAAACATTTCCAGCATCCTCTCTGGCGTATTGACAACTAGAGCTGCAACAAGAAAATGAATCTGCAGCTGTTTACATAATCGACTAATCGTCATTTGTTTATAAGCAAAAACACCATACTGCCTTTGCCACATATTACAGTAAGTGGAATAACTGAAGACATCACATCACGTCACTGTAGCCTCTGAGAAATTGTGAATGTTACTCTTTCACTATTATTTCAAGTGGCTGATCAATTACAAAAAAAAATAATCTGCAGATTAATCGATAAAATAAATAATTGTTAATTGCATCTTGTGACATGTGTAATTAACTAATACAGGTCTAATGGGTTGAATAATGGGCTCCTGCCGTGGCTTTGAGTTTCATGTGTTGGTCCAGTAAGAGAAACCGCATCATTGTATTTACATATCAGCCATAACTGACACAGGAGGAGAGAGCAGGCTCAGGAAAATGCTTCACCCCTTCAGCCAGACAAAGAGTGAGTGTTTATGCCAACTAGAGGTCACTGCTGTTTTGATTCGGTTATTTTAAAGGGTTTCTTTTCTGCTTCTTTGAACAGAAGACAGTGTTACAGCCCACATACAATATGTGGATGTGGAGAAGCTTTGCGTACATTGTGTCAGTTTGTGTTTTGTTTTTTTTTTCTTGTGGGTGTCCATAAGGGAATCCTCACAATTGTGGATGATAAAGCCATGAAAACAATAAGCAGACTGCTCATTGGTGCCCAGGGGCGAAAAACCGAATTCATGATGGCTTAAACTGGCTAACAGGAATTTGCATGAGTAACACCTAACAGCATGCACGGTACTCTGAAAGGCCATTAGAAATGATGGTGGAGTCAAGTCATTGAAGAAGTAGTTAGTCTGAAAAATAAAGGCTGTTTCCGTTTTCTACTTTGTCGGTGTGTGACACAAAAACTGTTTGTGCTATGCTAAGACAAATGCTGTGCTTTCCTTGTTTGTAAAAAAAAATCCATCGATTATAGTGATTGGCCACTTCACACCCACAGATCCAATCTGTTTGAACCTCTGCAATCAGTGTTGGTGACGGAAGGGTCTTTCTGTTTCTGAGCGGTTGCCATTTTTCCATTGATTGCACATGTTTGATAATGAGGAAAAAACAGCATTTACAGTTCAACCGAGGGACATGTTGATTTTCTTCCCACGCATTACGTCATGGTCAGTCCGGCATTCGCTTTTGACATCTGTGGCATCGCCAGATGTTGCTGTCCTCTGACTGTCTTAACAGCTGAGTGCTGCTACAGAAAGGTCATCACAGAGATGGATGAGGGGCTAACTATACTTAACACACAGACCATGAAATAATGTGGCAATATGCTGCTGTTGACCTCCAGGGTTGAGATTCGTACTAATATTCATTTCAGCCAAAAAAGAATCTCCTAAACATGTGCGACATCCTGTGCATTCCCATGAAAGCTTCAGAAACATTAAGTGAAGTGAAAAAAAACAAACAAAAACATGAGCAGCTTTATAAACACATTCAGTCAAAACCTGCATCCATCAAAAAGCATTTACTACTTCTTTGAGAAAGTGATATGAAGTTGAGAGGCTGATGGGAACCGGCACACGCACATGTAGGAAACAAAACAGCACTGTGTTATTCAGTGTCTCTGCTGTCAGATTATTCCTGATTGAGTCAATTTAACAAATAAAGCACAGTGTGGGTTATATTTGGCTGAGATCACCAGAGTAATTACCTTGTTTGAAGTCTTTTTACCCGAGCAAAAATGTTTCATTTTTGTCAGCAGGAGTTAACTTTCAAAATCAAAGTAAATGAAACCTGGGGAGCACGAACCCCGCTGTCACTCAGTTTCATGTCCAGATATGAACAATAGCATTCAAAAGAACACTGTACTGCTGATTCAAGGGTAGAGGAATGGTTTAAGTGAGCCTGAAAAGTAATTAGGGCTGGTATTGTTTTTGAACAAACTTCTCTGGACTAATGGGCCATTTGCCTCTCAGTTGCCTTTGTTGAAAACTCATAATTTCACTGCAGCTGTGCAAGAGAGCTGCACAACAAGACACACACAAAGTCTGATTATGTTCGAGCTACAAATGTTTTTTTTTTTCATCAGAATTTTGGGCAGAGTTTCCACTATTTCTTCCCTTTACTGTATATGGGAATGTCAGCGATGTATGACACATGCAGTGCACCTTTCCTTTTCAGTAAGATAGGTGTGATTGTGTGCATGGGTGTGTGTATTTGTGTTTGCGCTCACAGTATGCATGATTCCTTATTAAACCTTCTGCTGTCTGGTGGATGGTGATGGAAAAGTGAATCTGAATCCATCGTGTATGAGAATTTTAGTTTAACAGTCTCACTGTTTGGTGTGATTTCGGGGGTGTTTTGTGAGTGTCGGTTAATGTGCCACTGTGTGTGGAGGTGTGTGACTGTACTTGAATACATATTGGTTCGGTGTGAGAGTGTGTGTGGGTGCATAAATGTTTGCCGAGCTCCTCCTGCCTCGCTCCAGGCAGAGCTGGCTAACGGAAGAATCCGTGCTGCAGAATGGAGTTGCAGAGGACGCCAGCCGTGCAGCTCCGTGCAGCTCCAGGGACCCGAGTGGCTCCCTATCTCCTGACTGGCAGGCCGATGCCGAGCCCTGCAGCTGCATGCATGTGTGCCACTCCTGCTCAGCGCAATCAGACACACAGATAACACACAGTGCGAGAGGGGTGGGGGACGGAAAACGGCATCATCATTGATGATGGTGTGGGAGAGCAGCGCTGTGGTGGTGGTTAAATAATAAATGTGGCATATCGGGTTTTGTGTGAAGCCAGGACTGAAGCCTGTTCCTGTGGTGGTGCTGGGGGGAGAGGGGGGCAGCTGATGGACCAGACGATGTAGGATGTAGAGATTTCACACATATTACTCATCCAGGGATAAAGAGTGGAATAGAGCTGGTGCTGAATTGATTTACTGTTTAATCAATTCGTTGATCAACATTAATCATTTAAGTCTATTATCAGCGAAGAATGCCAAACATTCACTGGTTCTGAGTTTCTAACTTGAAGATTTTCTGCCTTTGTCTGTTGTATAACAATGCAAATTGAATATCTTTGTGTTTTGACGCTTGGCTTGGACAATACAAGCTCTTTGGGTTCTGATAACTTCTAGTTTTTCTTTTTTTTTCCACATTCCATATTTTAAGAATTCACAAACAAAGAACAATAGATAGATTAATCAATAATGACAACAATCATTAGTTTCAGCCCTAAACTGAAGAAACGACAGCAGAGTAAGATTACGTATGCCTCTCTGTCAAGGTGTGAAAAAACCGTAGCTTCTCAGTGAAATAGTATTTTTTGGGATTATATTTGCAAACACTGTAAAAAATGTGCCGGTTTTCATTAACAACTCCAACCCCCTCTCCTCTCCTCTCCTCTCCCCCTCCTCCTCTCCTCCTCCCCCTCCCTCCTTGTCTTCTGTTTCTCCAAGAAGGTGATGCTTCCTACAGGAGCGGCGTTCCGGTGGTTCCAGTAGGACTCCTCCTCCACTCCCTACCCAAAGCTCTGCCATCAAGTGCAATGCCAACTCCTGGATTGTCTCCGGAACAGACACTGGCTAATAAACAAACAAGCAACAAATAAAATTATAGGAAAAAAAAAAAATAACAAAAAAAAACAAACAAACAAAACAAAAACAAAAAACAAAACAAAACAAAAACGAAGCAGAAAAAAAAAAAATCAATCGGGTAATGGATGCACCTACTTATTCCTTGAACCAAAAATGAAGCGTAAAGAAAAGCATCTATGGCAACTTTCATTCCCTTTTCTATGTTTCCATTTTGGTACCTTTTGTCCTTTTTCCAGCAGGTTTTTTTTTCTGTTGCTTAAACATGGAACTGTTCATTACCAGAAACAGAAATGACGGACTGAGTGTGGACAATCAACTAATTTCTGTGTTTGGTGTTAATGTTGTTCATGTGTGGAAAGATACAGTACTTGTGTAGAGAATGTAAATTTACAGCTATATTTTAAAACTAGTGGCTAATGGCAAACATTATTGTAATTCTTCACCATTACGTTACTTAAACCCTTGTCTGTTTCATTCATTGATTTCATGATTCATTTCGTTGAGCGGTTTTCCGACAGATCAGTGGTAAAGGCAAAGAAAATGTTTTTAAAATTGTGACGCTGTTGATGTCAGACTGAAATGAAACTGAAAAAGTCATGTTAGATCTCCAGAGACTCTTCACTGGGTTGAAGACGCTGTTTGCCAGAGCCGTCACTACTGTAATCTCCTCAATCAGCCCTCCTCTGCATTTCCAAACTTTTCCTTTAGTGAAACTGGCAGCCTTATGTTACTGTGGCCCTACTGAGCATGTGCCAATACTGCTCAGGGCAATAGCACTAAGAGACAGCACTTGCTCTGAGTCAACCCTACTGAACGCACTGAGACAAGATTACATTTTTTTTTTTTTTTATTTGTTTGTTTATTTGTTATATTTTGTCATGATTTTGTTATGTTGCTGGGTAGCTACAGCTTTTAAAAATAACCAATCTTTGTATTCGTTTAGAAAATTGGACTGGTTTTGTGAATAAAAAGGAATGCATGTATTCGTGTCAAAATTTACAGTTCTGATGTTTGTCTACTTGTCTATTTGCATGTTTTGTTTTTTTTTTTGTTTGTTTTTTTAAAAACAGCTGGTTTGGCAAAAAAGAAATATTGAGTATAAATTTTCCATAAATTGGTGAAACTGTTTCTTTTTCTTTTATAATTGGATGTTATAAAAAAAAAATGAACAAATTCTGAAAGATTCTGACAGGAGAAGAACTCATTAAAAGTAAATCAGGCGGTGGTGTGCATCACCGTGATGTCCTTGGTTTGACTGAGATATTTATCTCACTGCCTATGTAATAACTTCCTATACAGTGGAATGACTGATGCAGCCTTGCTTTGCTAAAATGTAACCAAAATTATTTAAAAGATGTCTTGAGTAAGAACAATTTTGATTGCAGTGTTTCTTCAAAATGCATGAAACCTCCTGAAAAATCCTCCTAAATGTCTTTTTTTTTTTTTTTTTTTTCCTCAACGATTTTTGCTCTTCTCCGAGATCTTTGTGACATTCACCCTACTCCATGACATTTACAGCCTGAAAACACAAGCAGGAAATCATTCACAGTCATGGATTACTAATGGGACATTTTGTGGTCAGAGCTATAAAGCTTATCGTAAAGAAGCCTGGATAAAGTGTGTGTGTGTGTTTAGGGCTGAGTGTGTTATACATACAGTGAGTAGAAGGGAAGTGAAGTTTGGATAAAGACTTGGATAAGTGGAAGCAGCGCTGGTTTAAAAACCTTTCCAAAAATGTGGTCAGTCTCACATGGGTCTTAATGTAATTACTGATTCTAATGCCTCAGGTCTTTGACACTAGAATGAATTTCCATTTCCTGCAAAGTGATGATTTTCAGTGATTTTTTTTTTTTTTTTTTTTTCAGCTCCATAGTCACTCTTTCATATCCAGGTTGGGAAGTAGATGCAGATTTCTGCCGCAGCCGTAGTACTGAGTGTTTTTAATTAGTGAATATCCACAGTGGAAGGCCCAGTATGGTGGGCTTGTGTACGAGCTCGTGATCAGCTTGGCGAGCGGAGGGTTGGAGAGTGTAGCTATATTCCCAGCTTCCCCCCCGGTGACAGTGCTGGGCTAGTGCCATCGCCATGGCGATGTGGGGAGTGTGTGCGTGAGTGAGTGAGTGAGTGAGTGTGTGTGTGTGTGTGAGTGTGTCTGTGTGTGTGTGTCTGGGGGGGGCGGCTGAGGCCTTTCATTATTAATGTGCACCGCGGCGTCCTTACCTCCTCTGAGCCCGCACAGCTCACTGCCTGACCTGCCATCCAAGGGAGAGGGAGTGGGGAGGGGGGACTGAGGAGGCAGAGATAAAGAAAGAGAAGTGAGCCAGAGAGAAAGAAAGAGACAGCACCACTAGCATACAGTGTGGAAGCATATGACTGTGGAGTAGAAATTCATTCATGGACTTTTATTTTACGTTTACACCTGAAACAATAAAAAAATTAGACGACATGTCATCAGATTAAGATTTTCAGTTTGAGCGAGGAGGTTTTTGGGTGTGGTTGAAGGTGAGCGTTGCTCCTGCCCGCTGAGGTGTAGCAGCCCGGGAGCGGAGGAGGTCAGGTGGTAGTGGTGGTTGCGGCCGTCTCCGTGCAGTGGGGTGTACGCCTTGGTGAGCAGGCCTGTCACACTGGGAAAATCCTGGAATCTTATCACTGCCTCACAGACACTGAGCCGCACTGATCTACTCACCCTCGTTGCCAGCAGACATGCCCTTCCCCCATCCAAATGCCCCTGCACAGGCTGGCCCCTTCGCAGCTCAGTTGCCACCTTCTTCGAACGGGGAGATAGCAGCAACTGATGCAGTCCACTTTGTTGAGGAGGGAGGAATGCTGCTTGTAATATGTGACTAACAGGAAGAAAAACAAGTGAGTATACAGGCCAGGGTGGTGAAGAGTCAGCTGCAGTGACCCTTGTTTTACTGGCTGACCAAGTCAGAGGGAGGAACATAACGTGGGGAATGTGAATATCAAAGACTTATATTTTCTTAAGCGTAATGTTACCAAACATATTGCTATAGGAGTTTTAGATCCACTGATTGAAACACTGACCTCTGTGTCATGTGTGGGACATAATGCCCCATGAGGATGAACATAATCTGATAGGTTTGGATATTGTGGGAATTTAAAATTGTATGAGTAATTGCGTAATAGCTATCTAGGGATGTTACATTTATTTCTGTGTAATGCAGGAAAGTGGATGAAAAAAGTTTGTCTCATCAGGTTGCACATAGTTTCTGTTTGTGTCTCGCCACATGTTCCACAAAGAAGTTGCAACAGCAAATACAAATGTCACATACAGTATAATGACAGTGTTTAAATTTGTGTTTTCCAGCTTACATTTTGTAAACAGATTTTGGACTAAATTTGTTTTTCTGGCAAAAATGTTTTCATTGTAAAATACTCCAGATGATTATAGAGAAAAAGAGAGTGGTGTCAGTTTGTAATCTTTCCTGTTTGGGACATTTTGCATTAGATAATGAATCCGTAATTCAGCATTGAAAACTTTTGTATAACAGCGTAAATACCCCTGGAGTACAGTGTTTCATTATTGTGAAGAAAGATACAGGTGATATCTATCAAAATGTGCTGTGCTCTGTTGGTGTGAACACAGGCTGAAACACTGAACCATAGAAATCAGCGCAGCCAATACCCCTGAGTATTGATCACTTGAAATTCATGCACTCTCTATTCAGTTGATTTGATCACCGAGCATAAAAAAACGCGGAAGAACTGTGATGACGCGGATGAATTCAAGTTTGAGTTTTACCCACATGCTGCTTCATGCACAAACCTGCTATCAACAACACCTGTAGTGATAATAAAGTTAGATAAAATAAACCGATACTAGAAAGGAGGCTGTCACCCAACTGTGGCTTCAGTGCTACTTAGATGCCTTTATGTTTTCCTGTGCTCTATCTCACAAATCCTGTTTTGTTGTTGCAGGATTATTTGGAAGAGAAGCCTATCCCCCTTCCACTACACTTACCAGACTTCTATTAAAGCTCAGAAACACCAGACATACAGACATGATGGATGCTGGGCCACTCACAGTATTAATGGTGTGTTATGAGAAAGCTGGCAACTAAAGAAACTGCAGCAGGTTTTTTTTTACCATGTGACAGATGTTATAACAGGGTTTTTTTTTTTTTTTTTTTTCACGACGCCTGGCAACAACAACATGTATTTTCTCTATTTATTGAAACTGTGCATAGTACAAATAAGGTTCGTATTTTTTTCTATATATTCAATTCAGTTCAATTCAATTTTATTTGTATAGTGCCAAATCATAGTAGACATTATCTCACGGCACTTTACAATGCTTACTTTATCATAGAGAGACACCAAGCAGTTCCCACAAAGAGCAGCCACATGGCGACAAACAGAGATACCTGCAGAGCGAGGACAGAGAGAGAGAGACACAGAGAGGAGAAGCACAAACTATGGGGGAAAAAAAAACAAGTTAGTCAATATAGTTAGTGACATGAAGTAGTCTGATATAAATGGAGAGATAGAGACATATGGAGACATAAATATCTCAATGTCTCAGTAGGGTACGTTTTTGAGCAGAGTCTCACTAACTTTAACAAACCAACCTTGTTGTGTGAGGTCATTTATTTAAAACACATTTTCTTGTATTAAAGACGCACATGACATTTGATTTCATGAGACTAAACATGACTTTACCTCTGAGATTAGGGCTCATACTGAGGTAAACGTGCTAAATAGCAAAGGATAGATCTCACTTTGGGTATGAATGAATAAAATGTTTACTCTTCCAGCCACCGCCACCACGGCCCACCCACCCACACACCCACCTCTCCACACACATGTATTTTTGGCTGAGACGAAACTACTTTAAGTACGCTTTTAGTATATTACTACACGTGTTGAAATCACTCATTTATGACAAATCACACAAAACTATCACCTGCGCAAAAATCTACTGTCCTCATCTTTCAAATAGTAGCATGTAGCTGACACATACTGTCGGTAACGTGTAAAGACTTACAGCACCAACTGCTG